GGGCCTTAAGAATTTCAGTTGCTTTCCCTCTGCTTTTCCCCACACAGATGAGATAACACAATGGTCTTGTGACCATACACTGTTTTCCCCCACCTGCTTATCTTAGGGGTCGGGGTGGGGATTTCCTGGGACACTGTCAACTAGTTTTATAGTAGTGCTGTCTGTGTGTCTTTGGGTTTGCTATCCTAGTTGCTCCGTATGTTTTTATTTGGGAAGGGGGACTTTCAAATATTAAACCAACTTTGCCTTCCTCAAATAAGCCAAACTTGGTTGTAATACATCATTTTAATGTATCACCAAACTCATTTCGCTGATAATTTGTAAAAATATTTATGAAATTGGTTGGCTTATATTTTTTCTTGAAATATCCTTGTTGGGTTTTCTTATAAAAGTTATGCTGTCTAAATTACAAATATCCATTCTTTTTTATAGATTTTTGTGTTAAATTGATATTTATTAATTAAAATATAGGTAGCATTTATTGGTGAAGCTATCTGAACCTCAATGTTCTTGGTGGAATATTTTAATTAAAAATTTCATTTCTTTACTAGATGTAGTACTATACAGACTTTCTATCTCTTCTTGTTTCAGCTCTCAATTTCACTTAATCATTAAAATCATTGAAATAACACTGTCCAAAATCTCCTCTGATTATCATTTCAATCTTGGTAAAATCCATAGTTATGTCCAACCTTTGATCCCTCATATTGGTAATTTCATCTTCTTTCTTTTTTGTTTCTGATCAGTCTTGCCAGTTCTTATAATTTTATTAATTATTTTTAAAAGTTTGACTTTTTAGAGTTTTTCTAATATATATAAATATATGTTTATATTTCATATACTTCTGCTCTTACTGATTTCCTTTCTTCTACTTTGTTCTTTCTCTAGCTTCGTAAGATAGATATTTTCATCAAAATTTTATCCTTAGTTCTTTTAAAATATATACTATATATAACATATATCATACATGAATAATATAGCTAAAAGGCTATACATTTTCCTCTGAGCATGGCTTTTACTGTAATCCACACATTGTGATATATTTTATTATTATTAACATTCAGAAAAATATATCTTAAAATTTCTACTGTGATATTTTCTGAATCAGAGGTTATTTAGAAGTATATTACTCAATTTCCAAATATTTGAAAATTTATATTTATCATTTATTGATTTCTTAAATATTTCTGTGGTGGTCACAGAAAATAATCCGCATGATTTCAATCCTTTGATATTTGTTGAGACCTGCTTTCTAGACTATCTATAATAATAAAAGGGTAATATGCTAATTAGACCAGACGTCATTCCAGATGTCATTCCGGACATTCTTCTGGACAAACTAGGGCTGGAGGGAAGCTGCTGCTGGCAGTTGGGGGAAGAAAGGCCTACTTTTGCATGAATTTCATGCATTGGGCCTCTAGTATTTGATAAAAGCTCCATATGCACTTTAAAAGACTGTTTATTCTTCAGTTGGTTGCTTTTGTCATTATTTGCTTTATGTGTCTTTACTCCTTTCTCATTATGAAATATCCCTCTTTACCGCCAATAAAGTATCCTGTTTAAAGTCTATTTTATCTATTTATGAAGAGAGCCACAACAACCTTCATATGTGGTGTCTTTCATGGCATTCTTTTTGAAGAGGTCAGGGCAGTTATCTTATAAAATGACCCACTCTACAGTATTTGTTTCCTCTTAGTTTTATTTAACTTGTTCCTCTATCTGTCCACTTTCTGGAAACCAGAAGTGAGATTTAGCTAAAATAGGTTTAGGTTAAACATACTTAGCAATAACACTTCATAGGCAGTGCTCTGAATTTTATATTTTGTCATGTCAGGGATATGATCATTCTAGCCTCATAATATTGTTGGATGGATTAAATGAGAGGATGTGTGTCAAGTGCCTAAGATGCTATCTGACACATTATAGGTAAAGAGCACAGTTTCCCAACCTTAGCATACTAACATTGTGGACCAGATAATTCAGTGCAGTGAGCATTGTCCTAAAAGTATTTGATAAATATTCCATAAGCACTTACTATTATGCCTTGTGCAAGGCTTTGAGATTAAGAGCTGAATAGAACATGAATGCTGATCTCAACATACTCATAGTTTTAGGGACAGATCATGAGGCAAATGGGAAATTAAAATATGGTATGGTAAGTGCTGTAACAGAGACAATCATGTGCTATGAGAGGAAGGGCATCTAACTCAGTCTGGAGCAGGGATTCATTCACCGAGGAATAAAGAATAGAGACTTCTGAGTTGAGATCCACAGGACAGAACTGTCTCCCCTTTCCCATTAAGGCTCAAGAGATCAAACCAGTAATGACTGTTGTGGATGAAAATAAACACTTAAGAAATAAATGATCAAACACCCATATAATTTCCAGGCTGTATGTCAGGGTATGACCAATAAGGATTAATCTGCTAGTAAGTATATAGACACAGACAAAGTAAGCCAGGAGTGAGAGCTAAAAATGGCACAATCAGCCATCTACTTCTTCAGTTGTTGTATTTTGCCATTCTCTAGCTCTCAGTTTGTGTGGGGTCAGACTGAATAAGTGAAACAAGATTAATACCAGTTAGGATAATGTCACACACTCCTCGGTGACACAGGAAGGCCTTAAATGAGGGTGCCTATCCAGCTGCGCATACTAGTCAGCTGCCTATACTTCCATTCTTCCTGCTGGCCAAGTGCTTTTTCAGCTTGCCTGCAGTGTAAATCAGAGACTGGTTAACTGTCCACTAAGCCTGTTTCCTCTAGTTCCTGGGCATATTGCTCAACTATCTTTCCTAACCTCCACTGAGTTCTAGGCCAAGGCATGTATGAGTGAAAGTGACATGTCCTCCTTCCGGGTCTCGCCCATGAAAACTTCCCATGTGCAACCCTTCATGCTGTTTTCATTTCCACGGGCTTGATGCAGACAAACATTGATACCGCAAAAGGCAAGAATTAAAGATGGCGGACCTGAGGAGTGGAGGAAACCCATGTTCCTGAGAATCCCCTGGGGAGAGAGGCCCCGCAACGAGGAATGCCCTTCCTGGGCTTGATATGAATAAGAAGTAAACTTCCACTGAGTTAAGCCGTGACAGTTGAAGGTTTATCTAGTACAGCAGCTAGCCTTACCCTCCTACTAAGCCAAAGTGGAGAAAGAGGCAGGTTTACCCTGCAACTGTAACCCCGCTAGCCCCTGGACACGTACAGTATTTCATCCATGATCACCAAGCCAAAGAGGAGTGCCTTGGCCAGAACTTTTCACTGAGATTCCCTTGAGGGAAATGGGTATGTAGGCGGCTATTTGCAGGGCCATTGCTAAAGATCACACTTCATCTAAAGTTTGCAGCACAGAAGCATGAAAGGACGTGGGCTTTGATGCTGGACAGATGTGGCTTTGAATCTTGGCTGCCCCCTGACAATTCTTTGGCTCCATCTCTCTGGGCCTCTGTTTCTTCATCTGTAAAATGAGGGTAATAACACCTCACAGGAGTTTTGTGAGGATAAAATAACAGTATATAAAACATTGGCACAGTTCCTGGCATTTCCAAGGTACTCAATTAGCTCCCTTCTGACAATCATGAAATGAATGAATTGGAAATTTATTTATCCTTCTAATGAGAGGACTAGGGAAGAGCGAAGCTAGCCTTTTCACTAAGGACTGTATATTTATCCTTCCATAGAAATGTTGACTGTTTCATAGAAAGAAACCAGGTCCAACAAATACTTGCGTGTGTTTTTCCTTGGTCTAAACAAGGAGAAGAATTTAAGCTTTAAGAAACTTAAAAATAAAAACATAAACAGAGGCAACATTCATTACTTTTATAACCATTTTCCCTTATAAGAAAGAAATGTCATATTTCCAGACCACAGCAGCAGAACACACGCTGGCCTTTGACCCAGCAGAAGAGAACAAAAATGAGACAATTTACACAACAGAGGGGGAGTGATGGATTTTGAGGGTAACACCCCTGTCCATTCCCCTGTCGTCCCAGATGGAGTGATCACAAAGCTAACGAGTTGGTGGCAAGACCTCACCTTTCCCCAAGCCCTAGATGAAATTGAAAACAGGACGGGTAAACAGGGAACATCCTTCCAGATAAACTGGCAGAGCAGTGAGCTGCTGCAACCCCCCTGTACCCGGCTGCAGGAGAAGGAGGCTGCAATGTCAGGTCAACCAGGATGTGGAGGGAAGCGAGGAAGAGAGCCACCCACCAGCATGACTAAGTGCTCTTGGGGACAATCCCTGCTCAGAGGGCAAAAAGCAAATATCCAGATGTTATGAGCTGCCAGATGTGATTAACTGAAGAAAGGTGAAGCTGCCCACTTAACCATCTGAGCAGCTCCCCTCATCAAAGTGACCCCAGACTTTTCTGCAAAAGCATTAATCAACAAAATAAATGGAGGCTCCATCCATCTCCCATCTTGCCCCTTTCCCTCTCCCACTCTGATCCAGTCAGAACCGCGGCCTATTTTTAAACCACTGGCAATGTGTTCTGCTGTGGAAATGTTTGGGCTCCCTGACACAGGCTAATGCGCACTCAGAGAGAGACACGGGCCCTCCACAGGCGTCGCCCATGTGCTGTCCTTCCTCTCCCATGAGAATGGAGCAGGGGAGGAGGAGAGGGCCTGACTGGGGAGCATACTACCTGTGCAGAGGAGCAGGGGGTATCCGACACTGGTTTCCATGACGGGGAACTAACTGTGGGCTTCCTCCCTCCCCGAAAGTGAAGGCTGAGGCGGGCCAGAACTAACCCCACATATAAATGCCAATGAGAAGAAGAAAAACAAACCCAGGTGCCAATTCTAGCATCTTTTAAAGAAAAAATGTTTATGTGAATTTCAGCGTCTCTGTGACATGCATCTAATGTGCTTTAAATATAATAACAAACATTTTATTAAACACTGGAGACTTTTTTTTTTTTTTAGCAAGGTTGCAATGAAGCCAATTTACCAAAAAAAGAAAAAAGATGACTTTTCAAGAAAGGAGGTTGTGCTGTACTTACAATCTCTCCAGCTGCTTCAGATCCTGGAAGGCGCCTCTCTCGATGATGCTGACCTGGTTGTCTTCCAGATGCCTAGAACCACAGAGGCAGTGAGGGTCAAGGACAAGAAGAGCTCAGGGATCCTCAGGCCAGGCACAGGTCATGCAGGCATGGTCATCCCACGACCCAGGGGCCCCCAGCTGGGATCAGAATGGTGGGACCAGAGTGGTGGGACAAGATAATTCACATCCCAGCTTGGTGTCACGGTAACCAGGGTTTCACCGCCTGCACACTTCTACCTGACAGATTGGTTTCCATGCCTCTATTTTAAGAATGTTCTCAGCAAATGTCCCCCCAAGCACTGCAGGATGTTGCACAGAAAAGGAAGAGGTAAAAGCTGCTTCTTATAAAAACTACACATATAATCAGCATCTCTTCCCTCGGAGCTCCCTCCCTCACAGATTCAAAAATACTTCACCACAAAGGGCCTTCTCTGCTCACTGTCTCAGGGTCAACTAGTAGAAAGGGTGAAGCTATTGTTGGACGCTTGCCTGCAACGAAGGAAAACCAGCCTGGTGCCAGGAACTCCTTTCCCAGTGCTGCCTGTGCCCATCAGGAGCGTGATGGTCACAAAAGCTAGGGCTCCCGGCCACGGGCTCTGCTGACCTCCAAAGTCTTCCATGCAGGTGATTACAAAACTAAACACTCTGCTTAAAGTGAATTAGGTTCGTGTATGTGGCATATCCTAAGAATCGAGCATACAATGAAACATTTGTTTCCCTAATTTAAAAAAATAAATGGCAGCTTAAAACGGATTAGCTGGACGGTTGGGAAGGGAAGCAATGAAACTACATAGTTTCCATCCAGGGCTGGTGGGATGAGTGTAGATCAGCGGTTCTCAACCTGTGGGTCGCGACCTCTTTGGGGGTCAAACGACCCTTTCACAGGGGTCACCTAAGACCATCGGAAAATACATATATAATGACATATTGTTTTGTGATTAATCACTATGCTTTAATTATGTTCAATTTGTAACAATGAAATTGGGGGTCACCACAACATGAGGAACTATATTAAAGGGTTGCGGCATTAGGAAGGTTGAGAACCACTGGTGTAGACGGAAGTGAGCTTCTTTGGAGGGTGGAGTTTAGGAAGGGCCCTGGGCTCCTCTGGATCAGGTAGGAGGAGAAGTGCCCGGAAGCACCTGAAGCCAAGGCAGGAGGAAGGCAGAGCAGCCTACAGAGGCTTAGCTCTCCATTCAGACGGATTCCTTCCATGACAGCCTCCACCTCCCACACCTCTGAGATGTTTCATAACCACCCTCAAGCCCCAAACTTCTTAGGGTTCACACTTGGGCCTTTATGTTTATTTTCAAGCCCATCTATATGCATGAGCCCCAGGAGGGCTCATCATCATACTCCCAGACCTCACATTTGCCTGGACAGTAGCCACTTGATAAAGGCTTATTGAATGGATGAAAACCTAAAGAAGACTTAGGGCCACAGCACATACTGATTTTATATCAAGGAAAAGGCTAGTCTAGGCCACATGAAGTTTCTCACTTAGAGTCTCAGAGTGAAGGGAGTATTTTGGAATCAGGATATTTCTCTCTCTCTCTCTCTCTCTCTCTCTCTCTCTCTCTCTCTCTCTCTCTCTCTCTCTCTCTCTCTCTCTCTCTCTCTCTCTCTCTCTCTCTCTCTCTCTCTCTCTCTCTCTCTGTGTGTGTGTGTGTGAGAGAGAGAGAGAGAGAGAGAGAGAGAAACTCCTTTTGAAAACTCAGCTGTCCCATGTCCAAATATCAACAATTGTCCAGAACTGAGTATGGGTCGGCAAGGCACACAGACTCCCCACTTTGCCACAGTCCTCATCATTTTGATTCATACATTTGATTCATATGTTACTTCAGGCCTCTGATAAGCTCCCCATTTTATATGGACAGCATGAAGCAGAGAGATTAAGAGACTTGTCCAGGAGAAATTATTTGTATAAAGTCACACAGCTAGTTTGGGTGGACTCTTAACTCCCACTATAGTGTGCTTGCCAGATTTGATTTAGATTCCTTTCCTTCCTTCTTACCAGCTGATGGTAATGACACTGGCTATCTAGTCAACCTCTCTAAGACTTTTTCCTATAAAACAGGGAAAAAAAATTAAAAACATCTCATAAGTGAGCTGTGGCTGGTATGGCTCAGTTGATTGGAATGAATATATATATATATATATCTACACACACACACACACACACACACACACACACCCTGTATATCAAAAGGTTGTGGGGGTTCGATTCTTGGTCAGGGCACATACCCAGGTTGCAGGTTAGATCCCTGGATGGGCTGCCTACGGGGGCAACGGATCAATGTTTCTCTCTCACATCAATGTTTTTCTTTCTCTTGCTTCCTCTCCCTTCCTCTCTCTCTAAAATCAATAAAAGCATATCCATGGGTGAGGATTTTAAAAAAAAATTTCATAAATAAAAATAAAAATGGAGCAAAGTATATAAATTATCTAGCCCAGGATCTTGAGTATAATTAGATGTTTAATAAATGTTATTTTCCTTCCCTTCTCTTCCTTTTCCACCCTGCCATATGGCAATGAGGGCCTTGGAATGCTAATAGACTCACGTTAGCACATTTTGCTAAACAGGGAACCAGTTCAATATTAGTGACGGGTGGTTTGTTCAGCTGGGTTTTTACCATCTATCAATCCATCACACGGCTTGTTGTCATTACTTCCCAATTATAACAAGGAGCAACATAGGGAGGCTGAGTGTCACAGCCCCTCTGGGTTTGGAAGGAATCAAACTCCAACCCCCTTTGATGAATCTCTTAGTTCTGTACTAATTAATCTAACACTGCCAGCCTCTTTCAGAAAGAGGGGTAGAAAAATGCAAATACATCTGTGTAGATAGCTGCCCCTTCCCACTTTGCTGAGGCCCCGGGAAGCTAACTTTTATCAGCTTCATCACATCAGAAACTTCCTCAACTCTGGCTTCCTGTTGGGTTCAGCCAGCTGAAGTCCCAAGCAGGAGACAGTAGGGTAGAGGATACTGAGTAAGGTTAAGAGACTTATTCCCAGTTCCCTCTCTTCCAGCTCACCTCAGGTTGACTTCATCTCTCTACCCAAGACCACAGGTCCTGTCAGGCAGTCTCTACCTTTGCTAGGGTAACCACTTCATCCCACTGCTCCTCGAGGCCTAGAGACCTGTTGCTGCTAGCCCCAGGGAACTATACCATCTCTTCTTTCCCACACCTTTGCCAATAATTCCTTATTCACTCTCCTCATTTGTCCTGTGTGAGCATCATCTCTTTCCTAATGGGATCATGACTGATAGGGTACCGAGGGGCCCTTCTAAATCCACTTCCTACGTCTATCAGAGTCCCAGGCTAATACTTGGCACTTAGGGCTCAATGAATAATCAATATTTCATGAATCTATGAGTCAATGAGCTGTGAACCATCCACCCTCACTTCTAGGCACTGAGATCCAGTTTGGGAGCTTGTGCTAAAGCCGATGATATCACTCTCATGTTACTGACCAGGTAGGGGGTTAGGGGATCCAAGAGCTGGAACATCCATGGCTCCTGTCTGTTCTGAGTTAGGAGGACACAGACTGTGTTCATTTGCAGCACTGTAATTTTTTTAGTTTTAACATTGGATCAGAATCGGAAATAGCCCATGGGATGATGGCTGGGTGGAGTTTGGCTCTTTATTGGCCTCATTTGGGAGAAAGCTGTTTCCCACATTGTGGGCATAGCAGAGTTCTTGCAACAGACAACTGAGAAAGGGAACTAACTGATAACACAGCGGAGTTCTTTGGGAGAAAGAACTGTGAAGGGTAATTCTTACATCTTCTCTTTGAATGCACTTTATTTGGGAAAACTGCCGTTGGATGAGGCCAAAGTTCCCCAATCTGTTTTTTTCTGCTTTTGCCCATTCCCAGCACCGTGTAACCCATTCTGCTAGGAAATGGGTGGCAAGATCAAATTATTCAAGGCCATCAAGTCTTTTCTGGTTTCACATGTAAATAAGAAACAGATACAGGGAAGATACCAAGGTGGGTAAACTCTTTTCAAAAAAGATAGTTATTTAGGCTACTCTGCTAAACAGTAAAGATTAAGGAAAAATACAGTTGATATGTCTGGGTATTTTATTGGTGTTTGTTAGAAAGCACTTCCATTATCCCACCTGCTTGATGCTTGTAGAGCAATAATGGGCCACTTGAATGGGACTGCCTATGAATTGATGAGACAGTGAAACATATTATATTGATAGAGTCTATAACGTGGGGGAAGGGAGAGGGTTTTGGCATCGCTTATCAAAATAAGATTGTACCCATTAACTGAAACAAAATAAGAAGAATGTACCAACAAACCATAGTCAAAGGAATGTTGTAGACCATCCAGAAGATATTAACACGATCTTATGTGATTATTTTAAACTTTCTATTTGCAGAGAGAAGAGATGGAAATTGGAATTTTTATTAGTCTTTCTGATATAATGGTAAAAAAATCAAAGGGTTATTTTTGACTCTGTTAGAAAGTGAAGCAGTAGGTGAAATTTCTGACTTGTATGAAAGGAAATCTTTCACAGATGCCGGGGGGTTAGAAATGGGGGAAAAATGAGAGAAGCTAAATGTCTGTTCTGTAAGCAGAAAAATTACCTGGAATCAGGTGTTTACTGCCTAAATCTCCTCAATAAAAACACCCTAACACTGAGCCCTGGAATTCCCTCATTCCCAGCCTCAATTCTGAGCACACACACTTGTCAGAACTGCCAGTCATCTGACAGACATATTACTGCTTAGAGCAAAAAACAGACATGGCAGGGACTGGGGTCTTCCCTCCTAGGATGGAGAGAAGGCCATGTGCTGGCCGAAGACTGGAGAACACGCCGAGGGGAGAGTATCTGATGGTGGGAGGCCCCGCATTCGGATCCCAGTGTCCTCACACACTAGTGCTCAGGGACACTCAGGAAACAGCTTGCTCCTCTGTGGTGCATTTACAAACAGATAGACTATTGGTTTTCTAAACTCCCTATAATGCAAGGGGCACTGCACGGAGGTGAGAAAGCACACATCCTGGGTTCTGATTCCTCCTCCCTTGCTTACCTGCTATGTGGAGTTGGGATCACTTAACCTATCTGAGCCTCTGTTTCCTCTGGACATGTAGGGGTTAATAACTATATAACATAGAGTTTGGTCTGTGGAAGGTACCACATATATCTTAGCTTATCATCTTCATTACTACTATTAATCCTCAATCAGGAAAACAGTGTTATACAAGTAATACTCCATAAGCTGCAGGGAGACTAAACAGACTATTCATGAGAAGGTTAAAACCGAAAAGCATCATATGTGCAATTATAAGAGTTAGAAGGACTTTTATTTAAATGGGTAGAATTGTATTCCCCCTCAAATGCAAATGTTGATGCCCTTCCCCCTAGTGTATTCAACCTTCTTTTGGAGATGAGGTCTGTACTGTGTAATCCAGTTAAAATGAGGTCATTAGGATGGGCCCTAGTCCAATATGATTGGTGTCCTTATAAAAAGGGGAAATGTAGACATACATACATTGAGCTAAGACAGTGGAAAGGTCCCCAGGGAGAAGACAACCATCTAAAAGTCAAGGAATTCAGTCTTGGCCAGTTGGGTTCAGTGGTTAGAGTGTTGGCCTATGGACCATAGGGTCACAGGTTCGATTCCTGGTCAAGGGCATGTACCTTGGTTGCAGGCTTAACCCCTGGCCCTGGTCAGGGTGTGTGTGGGAGGCAGCTTAGACTGAGATGAGGGATCACTATTTAGAACTGAGACCTCATATTCCTTGCTCCCCCATTTTGCAAATGCCCATCTCACATTCTGCTACCTGTCTGCATAGCTGGGTGTTCAGCAAGGGCTCTGACCCTGTCTGGCTCTCTCTCTCTCTCCCTCCCCTCCCCTCCTCTCCTTACCCTTCCCTCCCCTCCCCTTCCCTCTCCATTAAACAACAAGATAAATAACGTTTGTCCTGATTTCTCTTTTAATGCACATGCTGGAGAAGAAATTATAATCTCTTTGGAAGGGAAGAATGGTTAGTCAGTCTGACATTGCTGTCATCCTAGAAGCTGGGCATGTTGACTTATTCATGTATGGCCTTCTGTTTTCCCTGTCACGGGACAGAATTCTTCCATTGGTCTAACCCAGGCAGCAGCAGTGAGACACAGAGTGAGATACTTGTGAAAACCTGGTACCTAATGGTTTTGTGCCACAGAATGGCAAATTCCTGTTGCCCAGTGCTAGGGGGTATAATGTTAGGGCAATGGAACCCTTTCATAAGGCTGAAGAGCTAAATATAAAAATGTGCTGGAGAGTAATGTGCTACTTACAAGACTCGAAGGTTCTTGAGTCCAGCGAAGTCCATCTTGGTGATCCTGGTGATATTATTTCTGTCCAGGTCACTGTAATGGAGAGAAAATTTGGGTAAGATTTTTTCAGGTTACATTTATGGTCTATTCAACCCAGACTGGCTTGGACTGGAGGGATGTTGCTTGTCAAGAAGAAGGCAATTCCAATGATTAATGATATCCCCTGAGCATGCCCAACTAACCTTAAGGGTATTGTATGGAATAAGCTATCCATTATGTGTGTAGTAGAGCCTGTTATATGTAGCTGCCTGGCTTCTGTTGCCCCTTCATCAGGTCAGAAATTTTTCTTTGGAAACTCCCCACCCCCAACTGACAGATCACGTCATATAAGTGGGGCTGAACCTTCGTCTCAGCTCCAGGGATAAGCTCCTCAGCAGACCAAGATTATGTGCATCTTTGCCCCCTCTGACCATAGTCATTGTTTCAGGAATGCATATATGACTCAAATTCCCAGTGGGCTCTTCTGTACTGGGGCTGCTAAGCTGTTCAGCACTGCCAGCAGCCATCTTTCCCATGAAGACAGAGCTTTCCAGAGTTAGGAGATAAAAAAAGATTGATTTCTCGTGCTATCCTATGAGGCTCTGGAGACACACATGCCTGAAGCCAGACACCTCTGTAGTTGGAGATTACGTGGAGCCACTCTATCCCATCCCTCTTACATTTTGACTTAAAGTAGTTTGAGTTAAATTTGCCATCACTTGAAACCAGAAGAATCTCGACTGACTTTGATACCTAGCCAGGTATTTGACTATTTCCCACCTAGTTTGAGGACTTCCCAGGGACAAAGACCATATCTCATTTAACACCATAGCCCAATAAGGTAGATTGTGTGCTTGGCACAGAGCCAAGGTAACTTTGTTAATTTCCTAATTAGGTAATGACAGCTACATGGATTAATCCTGCCTCAGTTTGTAGGCTTAAGATTCTAAAAATGGTCCCAAAGAGAAGGATTAATTACAGGAGAACTGAAAGCATTATGGTGGCTTCGTTGGGGAGAAGGGAGTACCATGAGGATAGAAAACCAGGATTAGGGAAAAACAAAGTCAAGAATAAACCTATATAAATGTGTTCACTAAAACTATATAAGAAGACTGGACTCAAAAAAGGACCACAAATAACATTCTAATTCTTAATAATGAATGCTGAACAATTAATTTCTATTTTCCATGCCTTCCTTATGAGAAATTTTCCGGGGCTTTGGCCAAGTTCGAGCTTCAACAAGGTACATGTAAACAATCTTGCTCTGCTTTTTAACTAAAAGGACATTTTCCAGTGATGGGTTCCTATCTACATGTTCTCTACAATAGTCCCCCCCTTTTCCCAGCATCACTTTCTGCAGTTTCAGTGGCCCATGGTTAACTGCGATAAGAAAATAGTAAATGGAAAATTCCAGAAATAAGCAATGCATAAGTTTTAAATTGTGCACCTCTCTGAGTAGTGTGATGGAATGTCACGCCTTCCCACTCCTTTCTGCCCAGGAAGTGAATCATCCCTTTGTGCAGTGTGAATGCTATTGGCCCATTAGTCACTCAGCAGCCAACTCAGTTCGACTGCCATGGAATCACAGGGCTTGTGACCCTTATTCTACTTACTCATGGCCCCCAAAGTACAAATATGATGCTGGCAATTTGGATATGCCAAGAAAAGCCGTAAAGTGCTTCCTTTGAGTGAAAAGGTATGAGGTACAGGAAAAAAAAAAGTACACAGAGGGTTCAGTACTATCCATGGTTTCAGGCATTCATGGGGGCCTGGAACATATGCCCTGTGGATAAGGAGGGACCACTGCACTTCCTTGGTTTTCCCAGTCAGGTCCTGAGGTTGTCACCCTGCAGTTGGACCTCAGTGAGACTTGTGAGATCTGCAGTTGCATAAAAAGAATGAGGAAACAATTTTCAGATTCTCGCACTTTGCAGGAGGAAAAACCAAGTTTGGGGAGGGATTACTCTCCTGATATAAAAATAATACTGAAAGAAACATGAAGTGTATCCTTGAGGAACCTCACCTGGGAACTCCCCACTCCATCCACTGTTCCACTATATAAAATAGCAAAGTTGTTTCTTAACTAGCCTACAATGGAGAAGGGCAGTATGTAGACTCCTCAGACTAAGGTGAGTGCTGGTGAAGGAAGAGCAAGAACTGCACAGGGAAATAGAAAAGGGTTGCTCATGCAAAGATTAGGGACCAGCATGCAGACAGGGATCTGTGCATGCTCATAATCGCCCTGAGTATTTTTCTCACCACCCATCACAACTGGGAAGGTTGTTTGGGGGCCTTTACAACTGTGAATATGACAATGCAACTAAGGGCTTCATTACGGGACACAGCATGGTATCTCAGCAGCTAATGCCAGTGGCTGTGGCACCAATATTCTTCAATTAATTTTTATTATGTGAAGGGGGACACAGTGAGCTGCTGAGATGCTGAGGACTTGGGGTTGGGTTGTGATGGGGACCGTGGGGCTGCCGTGGGAACATAGTCAGTGTCTGGGAGGCAGAGCTTCAGAGGCAAGCAGCCCTGAGTGTGAATTCTCACCTTGCCACATAATGAGTGACCTAAAGGCAGTTCACTGCATCTCTGAGGCTCAGTTTCTCCATATGCCAAATGAGGGTGACAACCTTGACCTCAACAGTTTTTAAGAGGATTAAATGAGATGATGCATGCATAGCGCTTATCTGACACTTGTTAAATACTCAATTATGGCAGCTATTGTTACTATAATTAGTTGAACTGAATACCCCCACCTCCACTCTGAAATTTCAGTGCACCAAGAGCAGCTGACTGCCCCACCCCAAACTCTGTGCTTAGAGATGAATCTTGGGATCCTCAAGAGACTAGGTTTGCATGTTATCTTCCTCCAGGTGAAAAGAGGGGGCATTTTTGTGGTTGATAGGGAGGAAGCACCACGAGTGGCCCCTCACACTGCCTCTCCCTCAAAGCATTTCTATGACACCTATTTCCATGGTTACTTCCATGGTAGCTTCTCCTTCCTGATCCGTACAATACTGCAGACTGCCAAGGAGAAGGTCAGGGAGCACATGAGCTTTGAGGTGAGGCAGGTCAGGGTTCAAATCTCTGTCCACCCCCGACTCCCTGTTCTGTGAGCTTCAATAATTCACTTAAATTCTCTGAGCCTCCATGCTTTCTGTAACTCTCTCCTACGTGCAGGCCTTGGAATGGTGAGACATACGAAGCCTGGATTGCAAACATGCCTGGCTAAAAATGGGAATTAATTAAATTGCCCCTGAGAAGAGGCTGCACTACTTCATGTGCCCATCCTTCTCCCAACCCCATTGTCCCAGTCCAGGCTCCTATGGACCCTTAGATTTCTCAGCCTTCACCTTTAGCCTCTGAGGGAATCAGAGCTCAGCCTGGGATGATTTCTGAACCATCTGCAGGCACGGTCCCACCTGGAGTGATCCTGGATAGGGAAACCATTACCGTGTCTAGATGTGGGGTAGGGAGGCGAAGTGGTTTTAAAACATGTCTGCAAATGATTTCTTTGACAAGAAGTGACTGCCTGTCTGTCTCTCAGAGCAACTGCATTGGAGCCCTGAGCTGCCATGTGAAAAGACCAGAAGACCATGGGAGGTGAAGGAGAGAGAGATGGAAGGGAGAGAGGTAGAGATGGAAGGAGGGAGGGAGGAAGGGAAGAAGGGAGGGAGAATGAAGAGAGAGGGAATGAGAGAGAGAGAGAGAGATGCCCGAGGAGCCCTAGCTGCTCCAGCCCTGGCTGTTTGGATCTTTCTAGCCTAGAAGTCAAGCACGTAAGAGCAGATACCTTTGCAATTCCAGCTGCAGCTAACATCTGGCTAGAACTTATGAAAAGCCAGATCACCCAGCTAAATGGCCTTGAGTTCCTGCCCACAGAAACTGCAGTAGAGAATACTAAAATGAGTGCTATGTCTTAAACCATTAAGTGTTGGAATGATTTGTTTTGCAAAAAATGGAAAGATGAAAGAGAAAGGAAAGCCACCTTTCAAATATTTAATTTAGCCTTAACAATGGACCTGCATTCACATGACTCTCACATGTCCTTTCTGAGGCTTGCCTGCCACCCTTGAAACTCTCAGTGGTATCTTTATGGTCAGCAATAACACACAGGGGCTGAAGGCTCCCGTGTCATTCTAGGAATGAGGTGAGAATTGGCACTGCTCTCAGGCTCTGAGGAGTAAGACTGCATAATTAGGGCTGCCCATCCCTCCAAGTGGGGCTTGCGATGTCATGGGAATCACCCTGGTGTAATACAGTAATCACAATGAGCAGGTGCCATTCATTAAATATTGTGGCAGACTGGCAAGTCGTCCACCAAACCATTTCCCTCTGGCTGGTGCACACAGAGAGACTACATTTCTCAGCTTCCCTTGAAGGTAGGGGCAACTATGGAACTGAGTTCTCACAATTACATGGGCAGAAGCAAAAAATGCTGCCTTCAGGCCTTGGTCCATAAAACATCCTGTTCACCTTGGGCTGGAGTCAGTAGATTCATGGAGTCCTCCACTGGATCAGTAGATTCATGGAGTCCTCCACTGGATCTACTGACTCCAGCCCAAGGTGAGCAGATAGAAAGAGCGTTGGTCCCTGAATGACTGCATGGAACAGAGACCTTCCCTTCCCTGCCTCCCCATTTACTCACATTAGACTTAGGCATGTTTCAGACATAACTCTTAAGACATTGAAATTTTGGAACTATTGGGTATAGCAGTCTAGTACATTGACAAGTGCAAAAATTTTGAGTCAGTAGCCCTTCATCCTTTTTTTCTTTCTTCTCTTTGCAACTGCTCTGAAAGGTAGGTATTAGACATCCTTCAACAGATATAAATACTGAAGATCAGCCTTAATAAAAGCTGATATTTGCTGGGCCCAAACTATACACCAGGCATTGTGCTAAAAAGTTTATGTTAATTCTCTCTTATCTAGACAGCAATGCTATGTGATAGATTCTATTATCATCCCATTTTTCACATGAGGAAACTGAAGCTTAGTCTCCCCTACCTACGCCCCAACTTAGAAGATTTTACCAATAAAACAAGTTG